ATGTATGTGTTGTTTTTTTTTTACTGCAAATTCTGAATGGATTATATATAACCCAGAAAGTGCACAAAGAGAGCTCCCTTTATAATCACTGAAAAGCTGTCACTCACTTCAGTTCATCGCGACCTCACAAAGTTCTGTTATAATCAATGAAACTCTCAACATTGCACAATGAATTTCTTATTTACGTCTCAACTTTTTTTGTTATAATGAATAGTGGGATGTGCCACCTAGTGTGCAGGTGTAAAATGCATTCTCGGTCAGTGCCACTTATCGTGCAGGCGTGAATTAACCGAAAAAAAATCAAACGTTTCTCATTCGGTGTGAAAGCACCATTCGTCTGTGACTTGCTTGACTTTATCATGTCACTCTCAGTGTGAAAGGGCCTTAAAGGGTTAGTTCACCCAAAAATGAAATTAGGCTGTGTCTTACTCATCCCAGAGCCATCCTAGGTGTATATGACTTTCTTCTTTCAGACGAATCTAGTCGGAGTTAGATAAAAAATTATCCTGCTATTCCAAGCTCTATCATTGCAGTCAACGGGTGTTGCAGTGCTTCAGTCCAAAAGAAGTGAAATAAAAAGCGCCCATCCATAAAAAAAAGTGTCTCACATGGCTCCGGGTGGTGAACAAAGGCCTCCTGTAGCGAATCGATGCGTTTTTGTAAGGAAAATATCCATATTCAAAACCTAATAATCACTTTAATCTAGGTTGCGCTCACTGTTGTACACGGAAGCAGTTCCGGGCGGATGACGTATGCGGTCGGCTTTGCGCATGCGCCGCTCAGAAGTGACGAACGCGGAAACGTAGCGGAGAGATCAAAACAAAACAACGGTCACTAATTAGAAGTACAAAATTAGGATTTTTAAAGAAGAATGTCGGAGGATTTCGATATAAGCCAAGAGGAGACTGGTTTTCCTTTGCTAAAGTAAGGAAACTTTGCTTCCTTTGCTCCTGTTAACAAACGTTGGTTTTCACGAGACGCACCGGCGCATGAGCAATGCTGAACTCATACGTCATGCTCCCGGAACTGCTTCTGTGTACAACTGCTAGCGCAAGCTAGATTCAAGTGATTACATTTGAATATGGATATTTTTCTTACAAAAACACATCGATTCGCTACAGAAGGCCTTTGTTCACCCCCCGGAGCCGTGTGAGACACTTTTTTT